TTCCTTGCCAGTCGAGGGTGCATGAGATGTTAGTGCCTCGCTACGTGTGAGTTTGGGCAGCACCTCCTCATCACCCTTTTGATGTATATTCCTCTTTCGGTTCTTCTTAGAATCATCCAAGCGGACGTTGGTGGTTCTAGCGCCATTTACGTCTCATTTCAGTATCCATTCCCTTTTTTATCAGACCTGCTCAGATACCACTTTTTCATGGACATAGATTATTTGCTAAGACTCTATGCAGCCCTCCAACTTACTCACTAATCTTTCAAGATCTTGTAAGTTCAAGGAAGCCTTAAGACTCAAAAAGCTAAGAGAATGCTTCAAAAGACTTATAAAGAAAAGAAAGAGAGCTTTACAGAAGTCTTTCGTATTGCTTTGGATGATTTCTTTACAACTTGCTTGGTGCCTTTGAAAATGAGGAGCACCTCTATTTAAACTACTTCCTAGGGACTAAAGTGGAATTAATATTTACTTTGCATGTCCCTAAAATATTTATACTTTGATCCCTTTTCTAGAGACCTCTACACTACCTTGGGACCTTCTCTAGCCTTCTTGAGAGTTCTAAAGTGTTATAGAGTTCTCCGCACAACTTTAGAGCAATCGACCCCTTTCCGGACATGTATTCAAGCTGAAATTATGGTGGCACATCACATCAAGCTTCCATGGAGTTTGAGAGAACTTTTGAGAGGGAAGGGTTTTGATTTTTAGTTGAAGGTTGGGGTTTTTTGATTGGGTAATTGGTGTAAAATGACCTAAATTCAATATTGTAACGACCTGTTTAGTCGTTTTGAGTAGCAGATTTTATTTCTGGAAAAATAGGCTGAGACTACGGAACCCACGACGGACCGTCATGAGCACGACGGACCGTCGAGGGGTCTCGTTTCAAAACACTTAGAAATTCTGAAAAATGAGTACTGAAATCGACTCTCTGAACTTCATAACGGAATAGCAGGACGGACCGTCACAGACTCTTCAGAGAATTTCAGCCTCTGAACTCTGTGCTGGAGCAGCAGGACAGACCGTCGCAGGCACGATGGCCTGTCACAGGCTGCGTAATCCCAGGCGGAGTCGGATTTCTTTAAATGTTTTAAGGGACGTTTTGGACTATTCCTGCTATAATTATAAATTTAGTGGGTTAATGTTAATAATTTAACTACTTGAGGGTTCAAAGAGATAACCTTGAATTAATTAATGGGTTAATTCACCATCTTTTATACTTAATTATATGCTAATTAGGGTAAAAGAAAGAGGGTTTGAATAAGAGAAAGAAAAGAACAGAAAGAGAGGGAGAAATGATCGAGAGAAAGAGGAACGAAGAGGAAAGCAAAGATCTTGAGGATTAGCTTGCTTGATCACAAATTCTTCGGTGGAGGTAGGTTATGGTTTCTCTTATGATATTCGTAGTAAACTCTTAATAGCGAATGATATGTATTGATAATATTGTAAACCCTGCTATGTGCTTAATTATATGCTTGAATGAATGTAATTATATAATTGTGATTATATAAGCATGATGAAGTTATTGAATCCCAAATCTTGCAAAACCCTAATCTCTTTGTTATTGATGAGGCCTTGGTATAAAAGAAGGCGTGATGAACTAAAATAATGAGATTGATGATGCCTTGGTAAGAAAGAAGGCTTGATGAATTGATAGAAGGAGATTTAGGGGATCGGGTGTCACGAACCGACACGTAGAATTAGGATCGGGTGTCACGAACCGACACGTAGAATTAGGGGATCGGGTGTCACGAACCGACACGATGAATTAGGGGATCGAGTGTCACGAACCGACACGTAGAACTAGGGGATCGGAGTGTCACGTTCTGACACATAGTAGTAAGGGAGCGGAGTGTCACGTACCGACACAAGAATAAAGGTGATGAATCTTGAAAGATGTTAATATACTCAATCTAATGAACCTAATTCCCAAATGAGTATGATATGGAGGCTTGAGTCCTCATGAATGTACTTGACGTTATTTATCAAAGGTTCTTGTACATGGTGTTGCTATAGATTGAGTATTGTAGTTGATTTATGATATTATCTGATATATATTGTTTTCTATTTTGAGTTGGCCGATGATATCTACTCAGTACCCGTGTTTTGTACTGACCCCTACATGTATGTTTTCTTCTTGATTATTGTGGAGTGCAGCAAATGTGCCGTCGTCTTCAACTCAACCGCAACTCTAGCCAGTCTTCAGTACTCCGGATTTCAGGGTGAGCTAATTCTTCTAGCTTGGACTGGATCTTCCTCTTCATGTCTTGATGCCTTGAAGTTCCGGCATGGACTAGCTTTTCATGTATTTTAGCTTCTAGATACTCTTAGCTTTAGTAAACTGAAGTAGATGTTCTTGTGATGAAGACTTCCAAATTTTGGGGATAATAATAGTTGTTGAGTTTTTAGAAGTTATTGAATTGGTTTTTATTAATGAGTTTAAGTCTTCCGCATTACTTTCTGTTGATAGTATATTGAAATGTTAAGGTTTAGATTGGTTGGTTCGCTCACATAGGAGGGTAAGTGTGGGTGCCAGTCGCGGCCCGATTTTGGTCGTGACAAATATATAATTCACTCCCAAAATACTCAAAAAAAAACCTTCATTAGTTGGAACTTTTTAAGTAAGTCAAACTAAACTTTCATTTTTGGAATTATCAAAGGGGAACAAGTATGCATCGCGGAGGTGTTTCATTAAGTTTATGGAAAATAATATTAGGGACGTAAGTGTCCGTGATGTCTCCATAACGTGGATACACATTATTCTCATGGCTGGAGAATGTCTGCGATGCGGATACACTCCCTAGAGCTACTGGTAGCAAGCTGCCTTGGCCGCATCTTGGCCATGGCTTGGGTCCTCCTCAAGGGCCCTTGGGTTAGTCCTTGGGGATTCGTATCCATGCATTTTAAAAATTAAACATGATTATTAAGATTCTACGGTCACCTCCACTGATTTTAAACTCCAAACAACAGCTAAAACATGAACAACATGCTGGGACATACCAACAAATAAAAGACTAGTTTTTGAATGCTTGGTGATCCCGTGATGTTTGACTTTAATTGACTTCAAAACACGTTCTTTATTAATTTAACAAGTTTTAAATCATAAAATTCATTTTGAGGGTGTTACAAAAAAGTTGTCTCCGTGGTCAAATATTGTGAGAAACATGCATAAATCACTAAAGGTCCTATTTTGATTCTGTCGGAGTGTTCAAATGGTTATGTGATCTATTTTGATGCATCCAAAGTCGACCTAGGTTGTGTGTTGATGTAGAGACGTAATTCTATAGCTTATGCTACCAAACAACTTAAGGTGCATGAGAACTCATGACCTCAAGCTTGTAGTTGTGGTGTTAGCACTTATGATTTGAAGACACTACTTGTATGGTGTTCATGTAGGTGTGTTCACAAACCATAAGATCCTTCAGTATGTGTTGATGAGTCCTCAATTTAGACTCATATAGGTCCTCATTTTTAATGCAAATAGTGTCCTCGATTGTGTATTTTATCTTAATGTTTGATAAAATCTTCTAAGTTTCAAGTATTTAAGGATTTTGCGGGAGCATGGACACTTAGGCACAGAACGAAAGAAAAGAGTTGAATATTTAAAATGTGCATCACTAAGAACACTTGGCAATACTCCATATAACAATGTTTAGCCTTCTATTACAGAAAGTGATCCATAAAGCAAGTGGATCAAAATGCAATGAAAATAACCAGTCGGTGCATCCCAAATGGTTCTGCGAAGCAGAGTTATTCCACCCAATGATACAGCATACATGGATATTAAATCAAGGCACAAATGGCAACGAACCAGAGAAAGGGCGAGTTGCCAAATCACTCGGCGATTCACGACTAAAGACGACAAAATGGATCCACCAACACTAAATGTCAAGTTTATAAATACTGAACTATTCTATATATAGAAAAGAGGGGTTTTTAAGAGAATTTTGAGAGAGTGAAACATTCTACACTTAATATTTTTTTTTAGAAACTTGGTTCTAAAGTTTTCTCTCATGTTTGGAGAGGGTTTTGGGAAGCTTGAATAAAGAAGTTCTTCTTCCAATCATGGAAGTGGGTGTTCTCAATTTACCTTCTTTTGTTATTTTTAAGGTTTAATCTGTTATACTCACTTAATTCTTTTATTGTTTTAAGTATATTTAATTATTGCTTGATGTGTGTCTAAAAACCTCCATTGTTGGGGTGTGATTAGAAAATATATGTTGATATTACTGTTGGGTTTTGCTTGTTGATAGGACTATGCATTTTACTGGTGATTTCACCTAGTGGTTGTGTTTTAATTTAATGGGTTTTTAGTTTCAAATACAAAACACCCACGTATTTTTGACTTGCTCGAGGGGGAGAGACTGATGGCCTAAGGAGTGGGTCGACATGAGGTTCAACCCGAGATAGTGAGCCTAGTCCCATAAGCTAGATAGTTTAGACAAGTGGGTGTCCGAGAGGAATCCATTTTATTAGGGGTACGTTGCCTTAGAGTAAACTTACTTTAACTTAATGTTTAGCCTAGACATCATTGTCTTGTGAATTATCATATCAAAAACATGTCCCATTAGTGTTTTATTTGTAAAAGGAAAAATATTTGCCTTTAAAGTTATTGACTTTTAGAGTCGCCAGTTAATTTTTGAAGAAAAATAAAGAAAACTGACGTTTCCAAAAGACATAAACAGATAAAAATCATTTGAAAACATTTAGAGGGGTTCGGAGATTCATATTATATTTTAGGAAGGTGTTTAAGGCACCTAAAATACCCACCAAGGTGGTTTTCTAGCAACTAATTATTTGGCTAAAATCTCAACTCTTAATTTTCGGAATGACATTTATTGAAACCGTTTGAAAAATGAATTCTTAGAGCTTTATCTAAGTGAACGTATAATTGAAAAATTTATTCGTTAAACGTGTTTGAACTTGGTCCAATTTTAAGTTGTTAAAACACTACGGCGTTCTACAGGGATTCAGAGTTTTTGACCTTTTAAACTACCGTCAAATAAAGAGAGTAAATAATTAAAGCATGTAAAGTAAGAGAAAGAGAGAGAGATTTGGGTCCAACTCCGGGTCTGTTCACCTTGACCGGATCTTTGGACCTACCAGTTTTGTGTTTTCGACCCTTTTACCTTTGTGTTGGGCCTTTCGCCCACTTCTCCTGTACCTATCATAAATTCTAATGATACAATAAATAAAATAATTAAATGGGCTTAGGACCAATGACAACAAATACAAAACTTTAAAAAATATAAATAAAACTTAGAGTCCTAATGACCAAATTTCTTCAACCCTTCAAATGACTCCATATTCATCAATTTTGAGGATCTATTCGTCGAATTTTGGCTGATTGTCTCGGTGAATGCGAATTTCAGCCTATATGGCTCCCGAACGCAAGAGATACTGAACAGTCCAAGTGAACTTGGCGAAACGTCATGCAAAATGACGTATAAAATATTTAACTGCAGCAAATAAGATCATAAAACTACACTTAATCAAATAAGAACCCAGGCAATTAAAAAGCAAATGGACAAAAAATCTGGTTTTTTTGTTATTTATATACCTATGCAATTTATTTAGTATCTATATGTTGTAGATATATATATATATATATATATATATATATATATATATATATATATATATATATTAGCTACTAATTCTATAAAGTAAACAGCAAGCCACATAGAATATGATACGATTCTGCCTCTCAAAGTTTCAAAGATACCATCACAATAACAACTTCCCAGGATGCAAGAGATTTAAACATTAATAGATTCAAAGAAAAAAATTTTAAAAAGGCAACTTAAGATAATTTCAAAAAAATAGTAACGATTCTGATAATACCATAATCTAAAATAGCTCAGATGATAGAGCATGGCTAATGAGATGATAGTATGTTAAAAAGAACTAAGATAAATAAAGTAAAATAGAAATTTCAGAAACAGTATGCATAGCCAAAATTTGAAATTAACATAATAAAGTAATATCCATAAATAGTCCTTCCTCCCAAGCCGATAATGAACTCAAAAATGGCAAAAGAAAGAAGAAGAACATGTTACTCTCTAACGTATTTAAACAAAAGAAAACAAAATGATAGGCCCTTTCAGATGAAGCACACACATCCATAGAGAAAACGACACCAAACACAGCAAGATAAAATAGAAGGGGCAAATTCTGTGTTTCCATGGCTACGACTGAGGGATAACAACAATAACATCACAAACGTACAAAACGACGACGATATTCGAGCTGCCTGGGTAACCACAACTTCATGAGACATTCCAGCATAAAATAGAGTCAACGATACATAAAAAAACTATTACACGAATAAATAAATGCAGCAAGTTGTTCCAAATGACCAAACGTTTACAGTCACCAGTAAATGAAAAGTGGAGACACCACTTGCTCTAAATCGTGTTTAACACACTCAAACACCGACTACAGGCAGCAACCAAGAAAAATGGGGCAAAATCCAAAAGATTTCCTCTTCGAAAGTGAACTTCGAGTGTGTCTTTGTTAGTTCCTAAAAGCTTTGTATTTTACTTTTGCAACTAAAAAAAGGTTCTGTCCTCCAAGTTGCTCTTTTATCTCTTATGGTTTTCTACTTAGATAAAGAAACGACTTGAGAAAAATTTTTCACTCTAAAATACTACTTTAAACACTTTTCTCGAACTAAAAATCTCTTTCCAGAAATTTCCAGCTCAAAAGACTCTCCCTAAAAATTTTATCCTAAGAAACCTCGCCAAAATATCCAACCCCCAAAAAAGATGAAGAAGGGGGATTTATAGGGGAAAACTAGGGTCTCTTTTTCAAAGGGAGGGCGGGAAAATTTTCTCAGAAAGCTTGGGCAAAAATTGAGATTGTTTCCCCCATTTGAATTTGAAATCCCTAAAAGATAAGATTGAAGTTGTCAATAGTATGAAAATTGTACAACTTCTCGGTGGAAAAAAGATGAGAGCCATCGGATTTCACCTCAATGACGAATGTTGGTGAAGATTACCCAACTGCCATGCAAAGGGAGAACCTTATCTGCTGAAAATGTACGAAGAAATGAACGTTGGGAAGAAAATAAAATCGTACAAAGCACGCGTCCTTCGTCATCTCTTTTCCGTAAACTTGTCGTGTATTTTGACAGAGAAAAAAATGCTTGGAGCCGTTACGCGTTCCAGTGAACTTGACATCTAAGGAGTTGAGTTGTACGTGCTAGGATTCTCGTAGGCTATTGGGTGTCTATGCGTCAAGGAAGAGGAAGCGTGTGTGGGGTTTATTATCTTGTTGCTGCTATTTTTGAATGAAGGAAACATTTCTGTGTGAGAATTAACGATGATATGTTGGGAATAGCATAAGGTCGGGTTGCGCAGGTATCTAAGAAAGACGGGCTGCCAAAATAGGCTGAAATGAATTTGACATTAATGGACTGGGGGGGCCTAGGATAAAATTAGAAAATAGAAAGGCTGGGAAATAGGGAAAAGATTTTGGGTCCAAAAGGGTATGGGCCAGCTGATTAAGAAAAGGGGCTGGGAATTTGAGTCGGAGTTAATGAGGGGATGGGCTGGACGACTAAAATTGGGTCTGGGAAAGCAGATGGACTGCTGGAAAAATCCAATGTGGGACAAAAGTTGGTCTAAAAAAATCCCATCAAATCAAATTAAAGGAGTAATTGGCCAAAATAAAACGAATTAATATAATTAATAATAAGCTTCTTAAGGTTAATAAGTAAAATAATTAATTCGACTGAAAAACTAGTTATTTAGAATATAATCTATAAATAATTAACAAAATTTTTGTATAGAACAAAATGTTACTCGCAATATTTTCGATTTTGAAAATTAATAAAATTCAAATAATTATACTAATATTTACGTGAGACATATACATTATAAAATGTCACGATCTTATTTAAAATAATTTGCAAGCCAAAATTTATTTATTATTATCTTGCTATTATTATATATATATCTTAATTTTTTTAAAATTAACTATTTCATATTGCTTAAACTCGAGAAGTTCGCTAGTTAATTACTATCGAGGAGGGTCAAAATTTGTGTCAACAACTAGTTTGTGTCAACATATATTGCGGCCACGTCCCAAGAACTATCTCCCGTACTTGTCTCCTTTATTTTTGCTATTTTACTAACTGTGACAAAACCCCTTTCTTGATATTAGACATTTTGGTGTCACAAATTAAACTTATTTTTTCTAATACTCAAAAATTTCTTAAGCTATCACTATTTAGAACCTAACTTTAAGTAGCTACAACTTTCACTACAACTCCCTTGGAACACAACCTCAACCCTTGGTTGGGTTACTTTACTAGCTACGATTCGTAGCCACTCAAACTGTAGGGTAGTGTCGCCGATTACCCAGAAAGAGTTGAATCCTCGCCAGTGGAGATGGCTTGAGTTCCTCAAGGATTATGATATGAGTGTGCATTACCATCTAGGTAAGGCCAATGTAGTAGTAGATGCTCATAGCGGACTATTTTTAGGTAGTGTAGCACATGTTGAGTAACAAAGAAAAAATAAAGACCAGAGAGAACCTCTAAGTGGTTACCGGCGTATTCAACCTCTAAAAGGTTTTATACAAGCCCTTCGCATTCGTCATAGCATGTATCATGGAATAAAAATGCGGAAAATTTAAAACTTTTGATTTTAACTTCAACTTCACTTCATATATGAAAATAGATTCTAACTTTGTCACATCATACCATCTAGACAATATAAGTGTAGAAATTGGGATTTAGCCCTTACATCAATAATAAGTCTAGAAATAGGAAAGTACAACAATGTTTTTCAACATAACAAAAGAACTAAAAAGATAGAACATAGGGTCTTGTCCTCGGACTTGAGTACTCAACAACTTGGAGAAGCAAAACCAAGTGTCTTGAGAAATAGACTTGAAATCTACTCAAACGCCCGAACCTACAACATTTGGGAAAAAGGGAAGAAAGTATGGGTTAGTACATGACACGTACTAAGTATGGCTTCTATGCATAAAATGATCAATGCATGTATAAAAGGACGTTTTATTCGAAACATGCTTTTTACCATGTGAATCCAATATGAACATAACGTAAGCATCATAAAGCAACCAATATGTAGACAACCCAAGCAACAACTGTGTAATGCAAAGAATAAAATCCCATAACCCTATCCAAAGTTAAGTATCACATTAGGCGACCCACTTCATACATACATTCATAATATCATATCATAACTAACCATATACTTAAGGACCATACATAGTTCATAGTCAACATATTCATATTCATAAGAGAGCACTACTGCAACCATCTCTTAGGATCCCACAAGTCCAATGTGTAAGAGAAGTCTCATACCCTCTCTTACACTGTGTAGAACCCATTAAGCAAGCCTTAGTATGAGGTCATACAATTACTTTTACATTAGAAAAAAAAGTTGCAATAATCGAAATTAGACCAAGTGAGCAACATGGAATCCCGTGTTCTACTCCTGCACTGAAAGGGAGGGTTAGCACTTGCCTAAGGTGTAAGCTTTCGTATATAGATATCTAGGAAGATCCACTAAGCTCGAGTTCGATGTGTGCACATAGTTAAGGGTCAAAGAGATTATTACTAGAAACCCTGACTTGCTGAGGGTTTCCATCGCATGAGACAACACCTGTATTGGGAATACGGACTTGCTAAATGTGAGGGAACCCATGTGGGGAGCCGAACTGAATAAACGTGAGACCTTCAACTGATTTACATACAATTTTGATGCTAAACATTTATTCCCTTTAGTAATCGTCTATAGTCATCACATAAGTTCACATTAGACTTTACTAGACTCTTATGTAAACATCTTATCATAATAGCTCATGGAGGTTCATAAGTGAGAACAATACTTTCACTTTAGAAACATTAGCAAGTGAGTTAACCTTTCACTTTAACATTACATTATAATCATGAGAACTGACTTTCAATCATATAAAAATCATACCATATAATACATACATACTTCATAGTTAATTCAAGTATATAGGGTTGAGGATGAGGGGACCTTGTCATCAACACCACAATAAAACATTAGATATAGCATCATTACTATCTCAGCGATTCATTTTTTGTACTTACGTTCAAGGAAGAACCAAAATTCATACCTTCTTTCCCTTCATAGGAATTCATTCTTCAACCACCCAACAATGTATAACCAACACATAATATAAGGTAATTCATGAATAAATTACATGACTAACATCAATATAAGCAATTGATATATTCATTATCTTCATCAATTCACCATATCAGATCCAAGATATATGAATTTGGGGAAGAACATGGGTTTAAGGGAATTTCTAGTGAACAACAACAATTCCCAATCATTATAGACCCAAAAAAACTTAAGCAATCATAGTTCATCATAATTGATTCATAATTTCGTTTTTAAAAAAAGCCATAGGTAGAGAGAACCCCTAGATTTTGGAAAATTTTGAAAACATCTTTGGAGGGACCTCTTGGGAAAGGAATCGCAAGAGTCAAAGAAACGATACCTTAATGAAGATTTAGACATGAAATTGAGTTGAATCCTTTGAGAATTAATCCTCTTCTTGGAGCTCTAAACTTCATCAATGGAGGATTAAGAGAGAGAGAAGCTAGAAAGAAGTATGAGCTTCAATTATTTTTTGAATTCTAAATGAGTGTTTTGTGTTTTTGATTAGGGAATGGGTACAAAATGAATAAAAATTATGCATATCAACCCTCCAAAAATACCCAAAACATCCCAACACTAGTTGGACGTCAAAACAAAAGTCCAACTTGACTTTGAATTAAATCCCAAACTTGTCAAGAATTGGAGGTGGGTCCGCGTCGTGCAGCAGGGTCCAAATTAATTTTTCAAAAAAGCTTTTTAAGGTACAAAACCTCGTATTTGCTCCTCGACGCGGAGCTGAAATTTTCAAGATATGGAGCCAGGTGCGCGACGCCCGGCCAATGCCAAATTCCGTCCGTCAGACTATCTTCTTCGTTTCTCATCTCTAAACCCACATAACTTCCCCGACTCTTCTCCCAAACACTTAGGACTGTAATTACCCCTTTTTAGATTATATTTCATTGGGTTAGGCTCTAGTTTAGGTCATAAATTTATAGGGCACTACAATATCGCCCCTTAGGAACATTCGTCCCCGAATGACACCTTTACCTTTTATAGGGGAAAAATACTCAAGACTAGCAGCCCAATAACAAGCAATATGAAAAAATGAGTCACAACTCATAGGAGGAATTCTCAACTCATTTCAACACATAACTCTGGCATTATAACATATGAACTTAATCCACGAATCATCATATACAAAAGCTCCTCAATTCATATCATACAAGGAGGAACTACCTTCTCCATTTCAACATGAGCTGAATGTGATCATTAAAGAGTTAACATGCTAATTTCTTCCCAAGAAGACATTAAGCATGCTTAATTCAACTCTCATGAGAACCGTATAAAACAATGTTAAAGTCAACCATGAGGAATATAATTCATGTTAACTCAATATAAGCATGAAATTCTACAATAATATGCACATATTAGAAAACCATGATGTCTTCAACATTATAGAAAACTCTCATTTAAGAGAAACTACTAACCTCAACTTTGTTTAGGTGTAAAAGAGAAACGATGACGATAGCGAGACTTCATATCAACCTCAGCCTCCCATTTTGCACCCTCAACTAGATGGTTTCTCCATATTTTTATACAGGAAACCTCTTTAATCCTGAATTTCTTAACTTGACGATCTAAGATATTAACAGGAAGCTCTTCACAAGAAAGGTTCTTATTCACCCCTAAAACCTTATATAGGGAAAAAAATAGTGTAACCTATATGTTTCTTGATCATAGAAACATGGAACACAAGGTGAACGGGGACAATTTATTTGTAAATTTCAACTCATAACCAACTCTCCCGACCCGCTTCAAGATTTCATAAAGGCCCAAATATCGGGGACTAAGTTTCACCTTGTTAAAAAACCTCATCACCCCTTTCATGTGCGAAATATGCAGGTAGACCCAATCACCTATTTTAAAACTCAAGGTCCTTCTTTCTATTGTCGGCATATGACTTTTGCCGACTATAGGATGTTTTTAACCTATATCTTATTATTCAAAATTTCTCTGTGGACTCATACAATATTTGGGACCAAGAAAAGAAAATTCATCCATTTCAAACCACCCAACCATAGACCGACACCTCCTACCATAAACTGTTTCAAATAGTGCCATAGAAATACACAATGGTAGCTATTGTTGTAGGAAAATTCTATCAAAGGTAGGTGGTCATCCCAATTACTTTTGAAGTCAATAACACACTCTCTCAACATATCTTCTAGGGTTTGGATGGTGCGCTCCGCTTGACCATCCAT